CCCCATGTGGATTTGCTCATTCCAGCCCACCAGTGACTTGTAGCCTGTGACTTACCCTGCCTGGACAACCCTGCAGCCTGTCTCCACCAACCTGGGCTGCTCACCTTTCCCCATCTCTCTACTGCCTGCCCAGCTGCATCCCTCCGTATCTTGCCTTCTGCCTCATCATGGACCATCACCAAAGGATTGTCACAGGCCTGGGTGTGGTAGAGCACCAACATTAACAGATTGGGGTGCATATCAGAGACCCTCCAATATCCCTCTTCTCTGTCACTTGAAGACTCTCCCCCAGTATCCCAGGGCAAGTGCTGTAGGCACATGGTGGGGGCTGTAGAGCACTGTGGTGGGTCCCTTACTGACCACAATGCACCACACAGTGCAAACAGACAAACAGATGATCTAGGAGGAGAACTGCATGCTGATGGATGGAGGCAGGGATGGAGGTGGAGGCTGCGAGTCTGTAGGACTGGGTGTGTAAATGCAAAGAGGAGCAGTGATTCCAGATTATTCTTGGAGCAGAGCATTGCACAGAGCTAGTCTCAAACCCTGCAGGGGATTTGGTTAGGCCAGCGGGGATATGGAGAGGGTAAACTTGGGTGGAGTAGGGGCATAGGAGGGGGCTGGGAAGACACAGAAGGGGGAACATCAGGGATGTCTGCAAAGGGGGGCTGGGAGTGGAGGCAGTGGGCACTGACTGGTTCAGTCACCACAACAATGGGCTGGATGGGAGAATACTGTGGGGGCTGGATCCTGGCTTCCAAGGTGGGGCCCTGAGCAGTGGGGGTGGCCCTGTCTACCCCTGCTCTTTTCCCCAAGCACTGCGGGAGCCTGGGGCCAGGGCTGGGGGGAGGCTGGTGCCGGCTTGCTGGGAAGAGTGATGTGCAGCGGTGAGTCAAGGTGGCTGCATGGGCAGGCGCCTGGCTCCCCCCTCCTCTACCCCCCCATGCGGGAGGCGCATTTCAAAGGCTGTCAGGGAGGCTGGGCCTATCTGACACCTTTCTGCCACTATGGGTGGGTGGGTGGAGGGGCTGGGGGCAATGGCAGAAGGTGGAACCCCAGAGATTGAGCAGCCCAGCAGGGATCCCTGCCCCCAGGTCTGGTGTGGCAGAGTGGCTGGGAACTGCCTCCTGGTGCTGGATTTAAGCAGTTTTAAGCTGGATGGGCTGAGGCCGGACACCAACTTGTCTCATGGTATGTAGAGGGCAAGGACCTGATCCCCCCCCCCGCAGTCCCACTGTGCTTGGGGCTAGAGACAGGGCTGTACAGCAGCACAGGCAGGTTCACAAAGTCCACAAGGGTAAAGCAGGGCTGATACCAGGAGAGGCAAATGACAGCAAGGACAGCACACGCTGGAATACACAAACACACTAACATATGCATGGAGACACATGCATGGAGAGAAACACACAGGGAAACACATGCACAGGAACAGGCACACAAGGAGAGAGAAGTACACAGGAATGCATGCATCCCCAGGGAAACATGCATGGAAAAACACACATACACACACATGCATGGAGAGACATAGGCACATCTCACAAAAACATAGACACATGAAGAGAAATACACACAGAGAGACATGCAGAGGAATGCATGCTTGGAGAAGTAAGGACATCTACATGCAGACACACATGCAAAGAAACATGCATGCACAAACAGAAATACAGAAATTCACACACCTGCAAAGAAATCCAGAAACACAGACACACAGACACACAAACATTCCCGCAAAGATATGCATACAGACATAGGGTGAAAGCACATACACATACAAACAATAATTGGACCCCAATTCAAACAGCAAAACACAAACACCTGTGGAAATGCATGCTCATGGGAACAGCCACACAAAAGCATAAACATGCACAATGAAACCAAACCCACATTTACAGAGACACACACACGCACGCGCACACAAACAGGCCCTGTCTTGCCGGCGGGAAGGTGCTCTCAGCACATCGGAATGAGCATGGGGACGATGGCTGGGGGACAAAACTGTCTGTGGTTTTTCACACAAGTCACTGACTGGGCTGACCCCAACCTCAACCTCCCCCCCTGTAACTTGACCGGTTTGCATATGTACCCGTTTTCATCCACAGGGCACCTGTGCCCATCACTATGTGATACACAAACACCCCTCCTGATGTATGAGGACTTCTGCAGGAACTGTACACACATGCACACACACTACACATACAGGAACCCAGAGCCACACATACCAACTGCACACACAGGTGCTCCACAACCACACACACGCACCCATGTGCACCCAGCAACCGCATACACAAACTTCACATGCACAACCAACATTATGTACACAATGGCTGCACTTGCAAACACCCAACAAACATATAGTTACACAAACTGTCCTTCTACGGCTATTCCTCAATATGCAGATCACGTCTGCAGGGAGGGGAAGGAGGGGAACCTAGTAGAGGCCTGTATGTAACATCTTTTAACATGGGGAAGCCAGTGTGCAAGGAATAGCCACACAAACTTGACAGGAAGGAGCCCTGAACCCAGTGGCGAGGATGTCCAAGACAACCAGAGATGTCCAACCCACTGCAGCCCTCATCCGCCTTCACAGCCACAGAGAACCAGCAAGGCCTCAAGTACATCTGGTTCGTCGTTGGGGTCTTCAGGAGTTTGGACCATGCTTAATCTGGGACCTTCCCTCAAATCCGTTCACCGGGGGGGAGACCCTACCAGGAGTACGAGACTCCAGACAACATAGCTCTAAGTGTCATTGGCACACACAAGCCTCTCCACCATGACAGGATTACAGTCCAAGGAGAAGGCACAAACTATACGTAAATACAAACACAACATATGCACACAAATGATGCATGTTTTTCCACATGCATGCAAAAACAGTTCACAGAATGACGCACCCATAAACTGCATACAAACTGCATCTATATCAAAGAGAACTCAACTATACACACACACACAAACTACTTTTGCATGTGCAAAATACACACGTGCATGGAAAAAATACCCCACACAAAGTGTCCCATAAACATGCAGAGAGTACACAACACACCCCAACACAGTGTGCAAGTATAAAAACTACCCATACATATGCAAATGCACATGAGAAACCTACTCACACAAAACCATACATACGGACACAATGTCCACATTCACCCAGACTACATGCATCAGCACATGAGACTGAACCCACTGCCTGCACACATACATGCAACAGGGATAGGCACTCCTGAAAAATGACAATGCCACAAATCACATGCCCGTGCATACAAGAACTGCACACCCATCAACACATAAAACTACACACATAAGCACTATTCATGCATGCATGTGCCTGCAAAACACACAGCAACACATGACCATGTCCTGCCTTGTATCCACAAGCTGAATGTCATGGCATTATTTCTTGGAACTAGAGTCTCGAATGGATACTGAAGAAGCCAGGGGGCTAGCAGGGGGTGTGCAATTACCTGGAGTCCTGAGGGACAGATGGTATCAGAAAGACAGAGACTCCAGGCCCAGCAGGTCTGACTGGAGAGTGGGGACCAGGTCAGAGAGACATGGAGGGAGGTGGAATGGATGGTTGGAAGGAGGGAGAGAGGCAAAGGGTGTGTAAGGGTGGATGGAGAAGCAGATGGATGGATGGATGGATGGATGAGTGTGTGGGGGTGGCTGTTGGATAGACAGGTGTGTGGAGGGGTGGGTACACAGGCTGATGGGCAGATGGGTGGATGGATGGATGGAAGTAGGATGTGCAGTGGTGGATGGATAGACAGATGCATGGAGGGATAGATGAAACAATGGAGTGTAGGGGCAAATGGATGAACATAGGGATGGAAGGCAGATGGATGGATAGGAGTAGAGTGCATCCCCCCTTTGTGGGGGATGAACAGGCCTCAGCTCATCCCCATCCTGGTCCTCTTGCCCCAAAGCCAGGACCATGCTCTTGCTTCCAGGCACTGACAGCAGGGGAGGGATTTGAGAAGGCTGCCATCCAGGGCTATGCTGGGAGAGAGGTGCTTGGCAGGGAAAAGGCTACACACATACCCCCCCCCATGCACACGTACAAATACACACATACACCAGCTGCGAACACATGGGGCTTCACATATTGCCATACACACACAATGACATACACACGTGAGGCTACACACACCACTGTACACAAGCAGCTACACACTGTTATGTACCATTACACATTGCTGTACACATATACACAACTAAACACACTGCCACGTACCATTGCATACTGCCCTACACACATGTAGAACTACACACATTGCTGCATGCACACAACTTCATACAAAACTGCTACCTGTCCTGACACACAACACTTACACATGAAACCACACATCTATACACACAAAACTATACACGACACAAAGTCCCACAGAGAGACACTCATTGCAACACACACACACACACGCACACACACACAGTTATATACAAAGCTTGTGCTATGCACAAAATATTGCCCAGCCACATGTACAAATGCACACACTGCTACACACAGAATTACACATTGCTGCCCAAACTCAGACATCCACACAATGGCAACTGCACCAACAGCTGCCTACATACAGTGCTATACAAGCACATCTAGACACATTACTGCCCCCCAAACAGCTGCAGATCCAGCTACATATGTGACTACACACACAGACTGACACAGCTATGCACACAATTATAACAACAGCAGGTATGGCTGGACATGGTTACTCACATCTGATCACAGAACCACAAATTTTACACACACACACACACACACACACACACGTATGCATGCACATACTTGGCCAATCCCCTCTCCAATTTGACTCCTGCACTGCAAGGGTTAAAAATATATCCTTCCCCAGCCCCCATATAATACCATTCATTCCTAGCTAGCTAAGTAGAGCCACCACAGCTCCAGGAGGACCCCATCCCCCAGGAGCCACCCAGACCCTAGGAGGACCCCAGCCTCCACTACTATGCCTCCTGGAGCCTCAGCTAGGACCCCTAGGGATCATCCTCTGGGGCACTGGCCTTGCCCAAGGAGATAGGGGAAGGCTGTGCCCCCAGCTCTGTCCAGTGAGTCCCTCACAAATCTGCAGTCACGGGTGTGGGACAAAAGCCTCCACATAGATGTGCACACATGCATGCACACACACCTCAGCCTCCAGGATTCACAGCCTTGCTGCGGGATTGCTTTGCTGTGTGCTATCCACAAGTCCTGTTGGCCTGCAGATAGGGGCCAGCTGTGTACTTCCTGCAGGAATGGACAGACACCCAGCTCGAGACAGCAGGAACAGCTCCCTCAGCCCAATGTGATGGATGAAAAAGGTCCTATAGGGATGAGGGACTGCAGCAAGCATCCAAGACACAGATGGACAGACGGGAAGATGAGAGAAAGAGAGAGGGAGGAGAAAGAGAGGGGGATGGAGGAATGGGTAGGTTGATGGACAGAGAAGACATATGGCGATAGATAGGTGAACAGATGAGTGTGTGTGGAAAGCAAGATGTATATGGGAATGGACAGATGAATAGACAAAGGGGATAGAGGCAGGCAGGCAGATAGACTTTTTTTACTTCAGACAGATAGAGAGAGAGAGAGAGAGAGGATCTAAGAGGAGAATTGCATGCTGATGGATGGATGGAGGGGTGGAGGCAGTAGTGGATGGGCAGGTGGGTCTTTGCAACTCAATCAGGTAAGTGAACTGACGCTGTGAGAATCACCTCTGAGGGAGCTGCCTGGACATGTCAGGCCAGATGCCTGACAACATAAATTAACCTCCCAGATGGGCCCCCTGCTATGTGGTAGACCCCTCTGCACATGGGATGCATCTCTGCACCTCCATGCTCCCCACTGCAGGCAGCGGAGAAACTGAACAGATGACATCATGCCATGACACTGCATCCCCAGTGCTGTGTATATGCATATATATAATCCTGAGGTGGGCACAGCTGCCCATACCATCCAAGTGCAGTGCCAGCTATCCCTCCGCTCTGCCCAACCATGGCCTGTGCAGGTCACTGCCAATCCACCAATCTACCATCTCCTAAACACCCACCATGCAAATGACATGCAGATATATGAATAAAGACTGGTGCACTCATCCACATGTTGCACATATTACCAGATGGACATTGCCTCTAATCCACAAAGGCACATCATCTAATGAAGAGCTTGCCTGGAGCTCCCAGAAGCACCACCCCAACACCTGATGGATGGATGGACAAGCCGACTGGGACAGACATGGGACCCAGGCAGTGCCCTCCCTGCCCCAGAAAGACTTCTAGTCATGAGGACTACAAAGGCAGTACATTAACAGCGAGATGCTCCTTTGGAAACACAAAAGCGACATATATCCCTTCCCCTTTTTTTGGTAATTTAGGTAAAAAAAAAAAAGAAATTTGGACTTACTGTGCATGGCTGAGTGTGGCTGGGGCAGGCTGGCGGTGAGGGCAGGTACCTCTCTGGGTGGGAGAGTCTCTCCTCCGGGGCTATTTTGCTCTTTCTCCGTTAATGGGTTAGGTTGATGGCTTTTTTGGTAACTTGGCTGCTTGGGGAGCTCAAGGTGTGTGTGTGTGTGTGTGTGTGTGTGTGTGTGTGTGGTGGGGGACAACTTTTCCCCCCTCCCAAAAAACCTTCACACCTGCTGCCAAAATCCAGGGTCTTTTTTTTTTCCTTTAATTTTTTTGGGGGGGGGTGGCTTGTGAGGTAAGTTTAAAAACAAATCTGAGTCCAGCAAAAGAAACACCTCACATACACCCCCCAGCCCGCCCCCTGCGGAGGAAGGACGCAGAGCACAAGTCCGGGCTGCCCCGTGTGTGTATGTGTGTGTGTGCATGTTACACCACTACCCATTGGTCTATATATACCGGGACTGTGTCCGCTATGTAAGTGTGAGCGGGTTTTTCACAGGATGACACACATCCTGACTCATTCCTTTTCCATTCAGAAAAAAAAGCTGCCTCGAAGCCTCTCTTGCCGGCCGAGCAGAGCTGCCCGCCCGCCCGTGCAGTGGGTGGCTGCTACCCAGGGGGATGACACATATCTGGAGAATGCCTGGCGGCGGGGCAGTGTGCTCTCCCTTTAAGATTTTCAAGGGGGGGGAAATGAGGTCATGCTGTAATCCCACAGTTGACCACCACCACCCCTGTCTGCTCCCCTGGGCCTCATTCCCTCTGGTGGGGGGGTTCCCATCCCCCACTGCAGACACACCTGGGGGGGGTGATGGAGGAGCACTGGGGAAGACAGGAGCTTGGAGGGGAGAGAAAGAAGGAAGGAATGAAAAAAGGGAGCTGGGAAAGCCCTAGGTGAGTAGGGCCTGCCCCAGCCCTGGGGGCTTGGAGCCTCTGGGGAATCAACCAACATGCAAGAGAACCAAAAGGACTGGTGTCCGTTATCAGCTGACCCAAGTGGCTGGCTGTGCCCTTGCCCAAAGGCACACCTTTGCCACAGCTGGAGTGCCAAGGGACTTGCCACACTGCCTGCGGGCAGGGTGCTGGAATGCAGTGCCGGGGCCAGCTGCGCAGTCCAGGCATGGCACTGTGGGTGCGGGAAGGCAGTGGGAGCCAAGTCCTCATACCCTCTGGCAGTGATTGTGAAGTCCCTGGGGTGCAGTGCAGTCTCTGTGCCAGAGTTCCCACGGCAGTCCCTGGGGACCCCCTGGCCCCACAGCCTACTATCTCACACTCTCTCTCCCCCTCCCCTCCTCCCCAGCTGCTCTTTCGTGCCTGGTCCTATTTCATTAACCACACAACTACGCACCCAGGGGGAAATTCTGGGGAAAGTTGTTTCCTTGTTTGCTTCTTAAGCAAGACATTGAGTGCGTAAAAACCACCCACTCGTGCTGCCCCAGCGCACACCTGCTTTGGCCTCTGACAGCTGCCTGTGGGGTGGGGCACATCAGGAGCTGCTCATGCTGGGCCCCCTCGCCCAGCACTGAGATGTATCCACCTCTGTGGTGAAGCATGTCAGGGACTGTTTACACAGGGACCCCTTGTTCAGTGCTAAGGTGTGGCCATCTCTAAGATGGAGCATGTTGGGGGCTGGTTATACAGGGAGCCCTCACCCAGCACTTGAGATACAACTTCCTGTGATGTGGGATGTGGGGGTTGTTAAGTAGCTTGCAAGAATGTGACATAACCCTGGGGAAGTGCGGACAGCCTCTCCTATGTGACCTTTCAGTGGGATTTAGGGAAAAGCACAGCAATCTTCAGAGGAATTTAGCCCAGACACTGGGGTTCAGGCCACCATGGAAGTGCGGGGAGGGAGGGGGGTGCTCAGGACTGCAACTTTACATAAGGCTGAGAAAGGGTGCTTCAAACATGGTCCTCATGCAGTGCTGGTGTGCCAGGACAGACAAACCACAAGGGAAGAGCACTCCCAGCTGATACCCCACACTGCGCCCTGCAGTGCACACCCCTAGCATTAGAGAGAGAGCCCAGGAGTCCAGAGTCCCAGTCCTCTGACTTAGTCTACCCGATTCCAGCCCCCTCACATAGACCCTGCATGTCCTGGCTCTCAGCCCCCATGCTTTAACCCACCAGACCCCCTTCCTTGGAAGGGCTAGACCCCTGAGGGCTCAGCTGCACCTCTGGATGGAGAGGAGGGGGAAGATGTGATCTTACCCCCAAGGGTACTGGGCTCTGGAGTCCAGGCACTGGTACCTACTAGTGTGGCTGTATCTGGGGGTGGGTCACAGGGGTTAGTGCTGTGCCATGAAATATGGGGTTTTCAGGGTTGAAAGGATGACTTGGCTTCCTTTATTTTCCCAAATAATGGGCCTTTCTAGGATCACGTTGGGCCACCAGTTCTCTCCCAGTTCTGAGATGGCAGGGGCTGGGACCAGGTTGCCTGTGTTCGTTCCCTGTTTGGGTGGGGGACTGGGGTCCTCTGGGCTAAAGCGGGGGGGG